ATGGACATTTAAAGTTTCCCAAATATTTCCACTTTAATATTGCTGTTTAGACTTTTAGCACTGTCACATAAACATTTTTGAGAGCTCACTGCAAAGGTGGTATTTTGACTAGTGCCTGAAGCCCTGTGCAGGATTTTTTTTTGTTGATGGAATAAAATGAAATAGATCTAATTAAACAGTACAGGTCATTTTATAACGGATGTTGAAGCTTATCTGACATGACCATGGCCAGGGAAACGGGGGAGATTTAAGCGTAAAGGAAACCCTGGATTTGGTGCCTATTTGAACACATGCAAGAATGACAACGACGCTGCTCCTGCAGAAGGTTCAAAGAAACCATTCCTTCCTGCAAATCGCATGATTTTTCCATAGTTTATTTTTATCACACAAATGTGACATTTAAAATGTTTCTACTCCAAAAGGAATGCTGCAAATGCAGTAGTTAGATTCCTGCTTCACAGGATAGAAAGTATCTTAGATCTTCATTTGCCATGCTCAATTTATCTGTGCTTATTTCTTGTGGGAGTTTTACGGCAGATGTTTTTCGATTTTTTCCCCCTACCTCTTTGAACGGAATCCCGGGACTGTTTTGTTATTCACGCGGAAAATACGCATCTATCCTTTCATTTTAGGAAAGTGACAAAAAATTTTTTTTCTTTCCTCTTTTCCAACAGCAGCCCGTGCAGTCAGACATGACTCGCTATCCGCCCCCACCCCGCCCCCACTGCCGACTTGACCCGCTTTCGATAATAAACATTTCCAGGATAGCAAATAAAATGCGAGGCTTGACAAAGAACTTCAAGCCCACCTTGGTCACCAGCAGGCCGAGTGGAAACTAGAGGCGGGACCCGGGTCGAAGACGGTATTGCTTCTTCTTGGGGCTCTTATTTTAATGCTAACTGGCACCATTTTCAACACCCGTCGTTTGGTTTTGCAGTGTGTATTCTAAAGTCGAGCGGCAGGTGCAGGGCGCAACTCCCCCATCCCACTTCCCTGTGAGTCTACTTGGAGGGGAGGTCGCACCAGCCCAGCATTCGGCGGGGGACCACCCGCAAAGGAGCCAATTCGGCCTTGAATCCTCCTTCCTCTCGTTCCCCTGCCCCCTGCCACTACAGCGGACACTCGGAATGGTATTTCATTGCCTTTATCTCACGTTCCCTTCCGACGAGCTTCTTTGCTGTTCAAACTTTCGCTTGAGGGTTTGCAATTCCCTCTTCGGGGTCAGCGCTTCCTCCCATATATCTCCTTACCATTAGTATTTTTTAAGTGTGATGGGTGGGAAAGACTTTGCAAATTTTGGGGGGGAGGAGGAGCACAATATAACCTGGTGCATTAAGGTATATTTATAGTCCGCGCTACTTTTCTGAAAAATAAAATTAAGAGATCCAGTTTGACAGAGCTCTTAAAATCATAGAGAAAAACTCGGGGGCTGGGCTGACCAGGGCACGGCGGGAGCAACTGGGGGCTCCGCAGGCCTGAGGCGCGGCTGTCGGAAGGAAGACCTAGGATTCTGACCCTGCTCACTCCGAGCCTGCGCTGATCCTGCGTTCCCGGCGGGAGGCTGCGGGCTACCGCGGTTGGTCGTTAGGCCCAGGCTCTGCCCAGGGCCCTCCTGGGATGCTGCCTGTGTTTCCCTCCCTCGGGTCCTTCTTGGCAGAACCGAAAAGCAAGCCAAGGTTGCTTCTTCAGCCCAGCGGGACCCGAATCGGGCTTTCATAGGCGTGTTTAGGTTTCTTCCGAAGACTACGAAATACACGGCTCCCGGGAACACCGTGGCCTATTGCGACTGGCACGTTTCGTTTGCACCCAAATGGCTCCCTGAGAGAGTCCCACCAAAAAATAAAGCGACGCAGGAAACATAAAGTAGGCGTGACCGTCATTCCAAGAAGGACCCTGAACGACCCTTCCTGCCACCGCCAGCTTCCAAGCCCCCAGGGCGGAGCAGGAGGGTGGGGGGCGGGTGGCAGGCACTCTCCTCCTGCCTCACTTTAATTCACGACTTTGGCACAGTCTGCCTGCCTCTCCTTTCTCTGCCTTCTGGGTCAGTTCCCGAGGCCGTTCGGGGACACTTGAATCCGTCCTTCGGCCCTCAGGACGTCCAGCCCTAGCTGGACCCGTCAAATCACAGGTCCCTGCACGCACCCTTAGCTCGGCAGCTCCCGCGCCCTGGGAACCGTTCTTCCCTTGGCTGCAGGCTGCGCCTCCGGCGCTCCAAACAACCAAGCTAAACCCAGCCCGGCAAACAGTCACAGGGAACTGAGATTTTTTTTTTTTTCTTCTTTTACCTCTGCGGGCTCAGCGCCAACCATGCTGGAGTCCCTTTTGTCGTGCAGGGAACCATGCTGCATCCAAGGCAAGTGGAAGAGACTTTGGCTTTCCTTCCTTTTCTTCGACAATCCCACCTTTGGATTACCTCGCCTCTAGCACAGCCGCCGCGGGAACCTGCAGAGTGCAACCGAAGGCCGACAGGGGGCGACAAACTGTAAGCTTTTTCGGGGGCCAGGCTGTGAGCAGGCTGTGGCTAGCGCTGTGTGGTCCCAGCAGCAAGCAGCTGGCTCCTGGAGGGGTGGGGTGAGAGGGAGATATGGAGTGTGAACTGAGGACCGGCGGACTCTGGCACCATGAAGAACTCCCCGGCCCAAACCTCCAACATTCCTCCCAGCCCCAACGGCCTTCGCCCAGGGCAATGGGCAGAAGATGCTCTCCTGGACTTCACCTCTTTGCACATCCTTGCCAGCTTCCGCGCTCTACTAGCAGAGGTGGGCTGATGTTCCCCCGATGGGGCAGTTGTGAACCAGCTCTCACTGTGCCACCTCTGACTTTATTTGCTCGTCTCTGAGCGTGCATGTTGTCTTCTGTCCTACATAAGAAAAAAATGGCTTTAGCTGCTTCACCTGGTCTTTGGGGTGCACTGGGTTATGGATGCTGTAGTTCTCAGGTCTACAAACCAATGTTTTTGGTTTCCAGCAACCGACTTGAAATCCAGGCAATGAAAATCTAGATCGGAGCATAACAGGTTTCAAACTCCCCGGAGAGAACTAAGGGGGTGGGGGGTGCTGTGCTCAGGATATGGCGCGGGGCCTCTGGATACTCGGCATGCTGTGTTTGCTCAGTTCTCCGCCTGAGCTCCTCTCTCTGGGCACCCACCTTAATCCAAACCGCCCCCTTCCCCGCTTCAGTAACTCGACTCTGCTCGGTCTTGAACAGGCTTAGTCTTCCAAATAGTTCCACCCTACCCACCTCCCGGCAGAGTGCTGACTGTCCTCTTCTTCCAGAGCCCAAGACTGCACTCTGTTTTCTATGCAGCAGGAGGGGAGCGTCCTCACCTCTTTTGAACCTGGGTTTTCTTTTTCCAGGGATAATTCTTGTCCCTCGCTCTCTATCTGGAGAGCCCAGGGTATATGGCTCAGGCTCTCCTAACTGACACATTTCAACAGGTTGACTAGGAGCTGTTGGATGCTCTTTGGTTGCATTGCGGAGGCAAGAGGATCGCCGCTGCTCCCTCGGCTTTGCTGGTTGCGTCAGCACGTGTGGCTCCTGCAGCATGGCTGCTCAGGCTCAGTACGCAGCTCTCCACCAGATCCCAAGCTCTAGAATTTCTGGGGATGGGGACGGAGGACAGGGGAATCTTCCTGTTTCCTGAGGAGAGCTGGGAATCCGGAGAACTGAACGCTTCTTCCTAGGTGCCCCTTCCTGCTCCTGCCAGTTCCATCAATGCTCTTGGCACTCACTGCCCCCAAGCTCAGAAATCCCAGGTCCCAGCCTCTTTTTGTCAGTTTGGTGCAAAATTGGGAGCCTTCTCCCTCTGCACCTGCTATCTCTTGGACCCCACTGTATGATTCCCTCTGGGACTGCCATGGTTGGCAACACAGACTGGGAAGTCCAGAACCAGGTGTTGATGCAGTTAAAAATAGAGAAGAGTTGACAGGTAATGCTAAGGCCAAAAAGTTCAGGGTTGTGCAAGACCTCCCCCTTAAATATAAGGGTGAAAGGACGATTTAGTAACTTAACAAGGACCCCTGGAAGCTAGGGTGCTGGGTGAAAGATGAGGCTAGGTTGCCTGGGCAGGTAAGGATGTGGGGTTGTTGGCCTGGAAGAAAGGAATGGTCCTTTAGGCCTAGAGGGGAAGCTATGATGAGTGACGTCCTACAGGCCAGGCCACCAAGACAAGCTTGTGGTCTGGAGAGAAGGATCCCTCTTCCTGGGGGCAGCAATTCACGATTACTTCCCGACTTGCATCCTGTGCCACCTATCAGAAATGAGTGCGGGTTGGTGGACCTGTCCGCAGAGAGACAGAATCTAGAATGTGCCTTTTTCACATCGCTGATATCACACCACTTAGTGGTGTGGGTGGCAATTAAATATTGTAAAGATTTCCCTGAGATCAGGTTTGGGGTGTCGTCTGGAAATGAGACACGGAGGAGTCTGCTCAACCGCAAATAGTTCTCCCCGAAAGGCACCCTGCAGTACGTTGCCCAGCGCTCAGGCACTCCCTGCCAGGGGAGAGAGGCGGTAGAGGCAACCATGCACTGAGGACCTTGTTATGATCACTTTTACCCTCTGATATCTTAGCGGTAATGTTGGAAGTAGTAATACAACTAAACCCAAAACTAGTACTAGTACTAATAGTAGCACCAATAAATACTCATCAGTTTGGAACGACTACCTCATCATTCTCAAAAGTGGAGGTGTAACGGCTTTGAGGGGAGCCAAAAAGAGTGTAAGATCCCAGGTCCGGCTGAGGTTAGCACTTGTGTGTGTGTGTGTGTGTGTGTGTGTAGGGGGGGATGGGTTGCAAAGAAGGGCCAAGGGGGGGAGGAGAGCAGGAGGAGGGGGTAGAGTTTCAGGCCCGAGAGGGGGGCGCCGGGGTGCAGTGACGGGAACCAATGAGCTGCCAACTCGCGCGTCTCCGGCGTGACTGCCGAGATTGACGTGGAGGACACGTCAAATTGATCTCCGCACGCTGCAGCCTCCCGGTCAGACGAATTTCTCCTAATCGGATGAAGTTCACTCTAGGCCTGGGGTCGCGGGCGTGGAGAGTGTCCTGGGAGCGCCCGGCGGCGGCGGCCGGCCCGGGGGAGGGCGGCTGCGCGCTCGGCGGCGGCGCACGGCGCGTTTCCAGCCCGCGGCCCGACCGCCGCGGCTCTCGACTCGCGCGAGCCCTCCCTCTATGCCTCTCCCGCGGCGGCGGCGCCCGAGCTCTCCCGGACTGCGCCGGGCCCAGCCCCGGTCGCCTCGGCGCCAGGCAGCTGGCTGGCCCGCGCGCCATGGGTAAGGGGCGAGCGGCAAGCGGGGTGCGGGCGGGCAGACGAGGCGGGTTGGGTCCCGGCGCCTTCCTTCCCTCTCGCCTGCTCTCCCTGGGAGAGCGGGTCCCGGGTGCCAGACAAGTCGCGTTCTCCTCACGCCCCAGCCATGGGAGGTTGGGGGTGGGGAAGCTTGCGTGTCGCAGGAGGGGATGTGCCACTTAGATGCGTCAAAAGTCCAGAAAGGGCAAGCAGGGCTGAAGCACGCGGCGTCCCCCTCCGCAGTGCCTACGCGGGCGCCCACTCCTGGATCCCGGACCGGGTCGGTTTGCTCGCACTGCGAGATTCTGAGGACCCTCCCGCCCATCACCTTCCAAGGCGCGCCTGGTGCGGCCCCTCGCCTGGTGTGGCCACTCTTCTTGGCTAACCCGCCGGTGTTTTCTCTCCCTCCTATTTACTCTCGTCCGGCGCGTCCGCAGAGCAGACGTATGGCGAGGTAAACCAGCTGGGCGGCGTGTTTGTCAACGGCCGCCCCCTGCCCAACGCCATCCGCTTGCGCATCGTGGAGCTGGCGCAGCTGGGCATCCGACCCTGTGACATCAGCCGGCAGCTTCGCGTATCCCATGGCTGCGTGAGCAAGATCCTGGCGCGCTACAACGAGACAGGCTCCATTCTGCCCGGGGCCATCGGGGGCAGCAAACCCCGCGTCACTACCCCCAACGTGGTCAAGCACATCCGGGACTACAAGCAGGGCGACCCTGGCATTTTTGCCTGGGAGATCCGCGACCGGCTGCTGGCCGACGGCGTCTGCGATAAGTACAACGTGCCCTCTGTGAGTTCCATCAGCCGAATCCTGCGCAATAAGATTGGCAGCCTGGCGCAGCCCGGGCCCTACGAGGCGAGCAAGCAGCCGCCGCCGCAGCCGGCGCTGCCCTACAACCATATCTACCAATATCCCTACCCCAGCCCTGTGTCGCCTACGGGCGCCAAGATGGCCAGCCACCACGGGGTCCCGGGCACAGCAGGCCACGTCAGCATACCCCGTTCATGGCCCTCGGCACACTCGGTCAGCAACATCCTGGGCATTCGGACGTTTATGGAGCAAACAGGTCAGTCTCGGTGGCCCTCTGTAGTGTTCCTGGAAGGGGCCGAATTGGAGATTGGAGGTGGGGGGGCGGGCATGCCATCCTCCTCTGACCGGTTTTGGCTCAAGGGAGGGTTCAGGGCTGGCCAGGGAGACTGAGGGTCTTGGGCCTTCTGTGGGAGTCCTTGGACATCTTGAACTTTTTATGACAAATATGGAAAATATTTCCCAAATGGAAGAGCAATCGCCGACCACAAATTCGGAGGCCTGAAATTGCGCTTTTTCATTCTTGCAAAAAGTATGCAAAACCCTATCACCAGATCTTAGCCAAACAAACCACAGAGTCAATACTGCAACCCTTTCTTACGATCCCGATCTTTTGGGTTCCCTCAACATTCCCAAAGGGTTCTGTTCCTCCCAGGCCCAAAGACTCTTTTGAGTCAAAAGGCACAGCGGAGCTGTCTGGCGGGTCTTGTCGAATGGTCTGTATGTCCACCAGGCCCAGCAGCCCTGCAGCTCCTGGAGCTGGGATTTCCCTTGTCAGTGCCCCTGGGCTGCAGCCATCCTGGGGTGAAAAGTCACGAGGATTTGCACTTTGCCTTCAATTTTAACCCAGCACACCCTCGTTCCTATTTCTTGGCAGGGGTAGGAAGAGTGAAGGGGGAGGGTGGATGGTTTGGGAGCATTGATTCGGGGCTCAGAAAGAACTTATGCGGGCTGGGACCAAGTCCCCTGTCTCTTCGCAGTGTCCCTTGCTCCCAAGAACGAGCCAGGGAATTGCATGCTCTTGGGTGAGCAGACTCAGGACATGCCTAAGAAGCAAAACTCACCTTATCCCAAGACGGAGGAGGGCAAGCTTGAAGGAAACAGAATACTTAGTTCCCGTGGTAGTGGGGTGTTCCTCCAAGGCGGAGACCGGGCAGTTTTGTTTATCCGGGTGGCTCAAAAACCCTGGGCCACTTGCTGGGCCAGAGCTCCCCATGGTGTGATCAGTGAACAGTTGGCAGGGAGGTGACCTCATCGGGTCTTCACTCAAATCTCGAGTCTTCTCTCAGTTACCTGTGGACACATGTGCTCCAGGAGCAGACATGTGCCTGGGACACAGGCGGTTGTCTGGGTTGTTGCCTCTTTTGGGAGACCTGGGATGTCTCTGGGGGCGGTTCTGCATAGCCTTCCAGATACATGTTGAAACTGAGAAACCCATGTAGTTCTCACAAGCCTGCTGGGGATTTGAACTTGGATATTTCAGGTCGCCGTTTCTGGACAGCGGAAATGTACCTTGGCTGAGTGTGCCCAGCCCTGGCCCCATAGAACGTCTACTGCCAGAAACTTACTGTTTCGCGGGAAGCGGGTCGAAGGCTGGGAGGAGCGCAGAGCAGGCCTTTCTTCCCTCTGCCCTGCTAGGAATGAAAGCGAAACCCAGTTCCCCACTGCCCCTCCAACCCTGTTCGCTGAGTGTTTGAGTATCTCAGGTGTGCCTGAGGACCCTCCGCCGCCTGCTCAAATAGCGTAGCGCTTATAGGCTTGTGTGGAAACGTCTGGGCCAGAGAACCACGCGTGTGCCCAGCGCAGATTGAGATGCCCCTTCAAATCCATCCTGTGTCCCCGCAGGGGCCCTGGCTGGGAGCGAAGGTGCCACCTACTCCCCCAAGATGGAAGACTGGGCCAGCGTGAACCGCCCGGCCTTCCCGGCCACTCCAGCAGTGAATGGCCTTGAGAAGCCTGCCTTGGAGGCAGACATTAAATACACTCAGGTAACTGAGAGGCAGGAGAAGGAGGTGTCTTTAACTGAGGGAGTGGGAGGGTTGGCAGATGGGGGGAGAGAGAAAGAGCAGAGAAAACTCCCTGCGTCCAGGGAATGTGTTGGTGTGTCTGGCTGCCCAGCCAGCGAGCGTCCGCGCTGCTTATTTCTCCTTTTCTCAAGTGCACTAGTTTGGGGGAAGCTGGCTGTCCAGGGGATTGCCTTGCTTTTTGCCAAGATAATTCTATTAAAAAAAAAAAAAAAAGGTGGAACCCGGAACACAGATGGGAGAGGACTCCCTTCTTCTAAATCCCAGTTGGTGAACACCATGATCCCCTTCACCTCTTATTATTATTTATAACAATTTGCGTGAAAATCACTTTGCTAGAGTCCTTGAGGGGAAAAATGAGAGGCCAGGCCTCGGGTGGGGATAATGGAGGGGACTGCAGGGGGAAATGAGGATCCCCTAGCTCAGTAATTGCTCGTGCGGGACTGCCTGCTGCTGATGGTCTGTCTTCTCTTTCTCGATCCCTACAGTCCGCCTCCGGCCTCTCTGCGGTAGGCGGCTTCCTGCCGGCGTGCGCCTACCCGGCGTCCAACCAGCACGGGGTGTACAGTGCACCCGCCGGCGGCTACCTCGCCCCGGGCCCGCCGTGGCCGCCAGCGCAGGCGCCTCCTTTGGCTCCCCCCGGGGCCGGCGTCACCGTGCACAGCGGGGAACTGGCCGCAGCGATGACCTTCAAGCATCCCAGCCGGGAAGGTGAGGGGCACCGACGGGGAGGGGGTTGGATGAATGTCTCTAAGGTTAGAAAGGGGGGGTTGCCAGGGAGGAGTGTAAGCGTGGGACTTGGTGAGAGAGTCAAAGAGACAGAGAGGGACAGAAAGAGGGGAGAGCTGGGATGCTGGAGTGGGTCCCAGGCATAAATACTTGCTAAGCCTGTAGCTTCTTGGAGCCAATTGATTCCTAACAGGTGTATGCCCGGTTCCTAGAAAGGCAGGCAGAGTTGAGAGAGTCTCCAGGACTGTCCCTCCTGATTTGTACAGAGAGAGAATTCAGAAGAGGGTCAGGTTGGTGAACAGGACTCCTAGGTTTGAACCTCGTTTTGTGTCCTTGACCAAGTTATTGCTCCTTTCTGGGACTCATCAGTTTCTCCATCTGCAGAAGGATTCAGAAGCACCATCCAGGCTCACCTTTCCATGGCTTGTAGAGGTTTGCTTCTGTGGTGGACTACACTTGGATTCTTCTAGGCACTGCCTCTCTGTTTTGTTTCTCCCTTCCCTTCCCGGCCCTGGTCTTTGATTCATTTTCTTAAACATACGCTTTGGGAATGGAGAGAGCATTTCAATCATGTATCCCCAAGTCTAGACTCTTGAACTCTGTGTGATTTGGGGGTCCTTCTTTCTGTGGGAAATGTAGCTGAAAGTTCTCTTTCCTCTTCTCCCTCCATAAAAACACTCCCTGGTAAGTCCACTAACAGATTGGAGGTATTTAATTGATGGTCAGCCGTGTGAGGGGCATCTTCTTACATTGCCCTCTGCATTCTTTTTTTTTTTTTTCTTACAACTTGAGAAAAGCTCACTTGCTCTTGAGTCTCATTTTCCTCATTGGTGATCAAGGGTTGAATTTGCTAATTTCAAACCTTCCTGCATTTAGGTTCTCCTCATCAGAAATTTGCAACCTCTGCAACCCTACAGACAAGGAAGGTGTCTCCTGAGGGGGTCCCAGCCCTGGCTGTGAAGGAGACAGAGCATAAACTTTGAGGGCAGTGTGGGGCAGAGGGATGTTTTAGATTACAAAAGGGTCTTTACTACCTGATATTCCTCACACCAGACATAGGGGACAGGTGGCATTGGGTAATCAGGGTACAGAGTGGTGATTCCTTCTATGTGACAACCAGGCAAAAAACTTTATTTCCATGTAGTTTCAGTAAGATGCAATAGCATGATGAGAGAGCGTGAGAGAGAGAGAGAGGAGCCACTAAGATGCCATCAAGAACGTCAAGTGGAGGGAATTTTTTTTTTCGCTTTTCAGTTTTTCTAGAACATAAACATATTAGGGTATAAATTACAAAAACTGAGAATTAGCATTCCTTTAAGCTTTACATTTCAGGACAGATTGGGAGGGGTCTTTTTCATCTGTAGAAGTGCTTTTGCTCAGGGTCTCGGAGTGCTGGAGTCGGTCCCAGGCATATATCCTTCCTCGTGCTTTTGCCAGGGTCTTGTTCTTGGCCTCAAATCTAACTGCTTCCTTAAGAACGGAAGTTATCTGCTGAATTAGGAATAGAAATGGAATCTTCTCCATTACACAAATCAAATAATTTAACTAAGCAGGTTCATTTGAATTAGAAAAGTACATCCACAACTTGAAATGATCCACCCCCCACCGGGGTTGATCTCAGGGAGGAAGAAGACTTAAGAAAAGGGACTCATTATCTTCAGAATAACGCCATCATTTGTTAACAGTGCCACTTTGTCCTGAGGCATTTCAGACTCTATGCTAGAAACAAATTATAACATGTAGGTAACAGTCCAAAGGGAAAACCACACAGTTCAGTATTCTAAACTAATTCTAGTGAACTGGGGCCAGTGGGGGCGGGGGTGGAATCTGTTGGTGGCTGATTTTCTTTAGAAGATACTTTCTTTCAGAAATACAGGCCCTCGGTGCCTGGGTGGCTCAGTCGGTTAAGCATCAGCTTTTGGCTCAGGTCATGATCCCAGGATCCTGGGATAGAGTCCCAAATCCCTGCTACTCCCTCTACCCTTCCTGCTGCTCATGATCTCTCTCACTCTCTCTCTCAAATAAGTCAATAAAATCTTAAAAAAAAAAAAAAAGAAATACAGGGCCATTCGATGGCCCTTACATTCATGTCCCTTTTACCAGTATATTTGCTTCTTGTTATGAAACGCCCCACCCATTTTCAAAATCCACAGCAATAATTAGCTACCTTAGTTATTAAATTAATATCTTAATTTCCTGACCCTCACAGTTCTTTAAAGATCTAGGTAAATGATCATCGAATAAATTTCTCAAGCTGGCATGCAAGTGTTAGTGTTTGAACAGAAACATAAAAATCATGAGAATTACATGCCTATTTGTATTCTCACTGGCAGAAAAGTTTACTTCAAAGACCCTCCCCTGCCCCTTCCCTGCTCCCCCCAAGCTTTGAGAAATTACAAAGTAACAAGTCTCACTGCCTTTAATTTTTATAATCATTAAATTGTCTTCAACGAAACTTATCCCATAAGACAATTTGCTATCATTAATTGTTCACTTTTTAAGAATAGTGGGAATAGCATTTACTGAATTTTTTCCCGTAACAAAAATTTCTTTCTTTCTTCCTTTTTTTTTTTTGTTTTGAGATTTTATGGATTTATTTGGCAGAGAGACACATCAAGAAAGGAAACACAAGCAGGGAGAGTGGGAGAGGGGGAAGCAGGCTTCCTGCTGAGCAGGGAGCTCATTGTGGGGTTTGGTCCCAGAATTCCGGGATTAACAAGTTTGCCACCTAGGCACCCCAAGTAACAAAAGTTTTCTACTGAGAACAGTTTAATATTATTCATGCTCAGTAGCAAGCAAATACTTTTGATTGTCTAGAGCATACACACACAACACATGTGCAATATTGTATCTATCTTCACATCCCTTTCAGTGCATCCTCCAAATCAGGTGCAAATGAACATTAACTCTTACCCCGAGGGAAGCCAAATCCAATGTCAAATTATGCATTGCTATTTGTTAATTTTATCTTGGTGAAGGGTAGCGAGGCTGGGCTACCTATTTTATAGGCAACAAAGTATGATTTCAATTTTCCATCTGTGAAAGGAAACTTTAATTCTTGGGACCTGAAAGAAAAGGAAAGTTCCACCTCATCTACATTTGGAAGGGACCTGATATTTTTGGAATCTCAGTACTCATTTATTTTCTTTTCGTAGCCAGGGCAGGACCATTTCCACACACTCCTTCCCAGCCTCTGGACAGGTGACAGACCCCACCAGAGGTTCCTGCAAGACAACCTGTATTTACAATTGACAGTGTTTTCAGAAACCATCAAAGCCTCCTGGTTCTAAAATCCCTCCCAGAGAGGTTTTGGAAAGACAGGTTTCGAATATCAAATCTAGAAGATATTGCATTTTCTTTAAAGAAAATATGTTTATACTTGTTAAACTCAACCCCTTCCTTCCTTCCTTCCTTCCTTCCTTCCTTCCTTCCTTCCTTCCACTTATCTCTGCTTAGGGTTAGTTTTTAAGGGATCGATCCTGAAAATGTAGTTTGCCAGAGAGCACTAGGTTGCTGGCATTTGCCTGAGAGACCCACGGAAGCCAACCAAGTTTCATTTGACCTGCCTCTGAAGACCACTTCCCAGACTCCGTCTCTGTCCGACCCAACCGTGGTCCCAGTGCCCCTGCAACCGCAGTCCCAATATTTTGAAAACCCTTGTCATCATTCCTGTCCCCTAAGATTAAATGAACCGGCAGGGCGCCTAACGCGGCGGGCTCAAGCCTCCAAGACCCCCAAGACACAGCCACTCACTCAGCTCCGGTCCCTGCGGGTGGGAAAGGAGCGGAGGAAAGGTCCTATGGCGAGGGGCTGGTGTGGACGGAACTAAAAACGCAGCAGCTGGAGTAGCCCCCGTAGAGTGGGGTGGAATCCATCTCTGCCCCCCCCCTTTATTTTCCTACTCGTTCATTTTCTCCCTCGTGTCGAAGGCAGCCGGCCCATAGCTGAGAAACCTCCTCTCCTCTGATGTTTTCTAAACAGGTCCTCACCTTGAAGCGAGTGTACAGGGTGGAAAGCAAGGGTCAGAAGACCTTGTTGGCTGAGCAGCCACAATGGTGTTTAGGAAAGAAAGCTGAGAGGTAGGGGAGAGCAGAGTGGTTACTCTGCCCTGGAAAGGTCTTTAGATCCCGGTGAAAACCTCTGCGAAACCAGATGTTCTTGAGCGCGTGCTTGTGTCCGTCTTCAAACAGGGATATCCGGCGCAGCTCCGCGCGGTCACTGCAAGTTGCTCCTGGAACTGGTGCACCGGCAGCTGCAGGGGGAAAAAGTCCAGAATTATCCCGATCCCAAAATGAAGCGCTCTGAGCTCCCCCCTTTAAAGGATAACTTGCAGGGGAAAAGAAGAAAGCTGAAAATGGGCTCCTTTAGGTATAAACAACTTGAGCTTCCTGCAGGAGGAGCCTAACAGCCAGGGGCTGGGAAAGGAGAAACAGGTTGCGCAATCCTGGCGTCACTTTGCTGGTTTCCAGAGGCAAAACTCGGGCCCCTTCCCAAAACCCTAAGTAATAGAGCAACGTGCAGAATGCCGTCTGATCTGGCAAATTCACTGTCACTTAATCCGGAGGCCCATAAGCCCCAGGGAGTGCTTTGCCCGCAGTGGGGATAGCAGCGGGATTCCCGGGCCGCGGGGCAGAACGAAGTCGGCCACCCACTTAAAGTGCGACCACCTCCCGTGTCGAAGGGATCCAGGCCGAAGCGGGCCCTCCATCGGGGTGGCTTTGGTGACCCGCTTCCCGCTGGGTTACCCCCTGTCCACCGCGAGCGTCCCGAGCCGCTCGGGGGACACTGGACCTGATACGCTGGCAGCTCCCCAGGCCCGAGCGCGCGGCTGGGGTCTGGGTGGCGGTGGGAGGAGGGGCGTGGTGGTGGGGGGTCTGGGATCTGAGTACCTCCCCGGCCCGGCTGCTTTACGGACCCGTGCGCCCATCACCTCCTTTATTGAGAGGGTGCGGGACAAAAGCAAGTACACTCGGGCTGCGGTCAGGGAGCGTTTGCAACGCGACCAAGGCTGTGTTCGCTCGAGGGTTCCTTAAGGGGATCCGGAGGGATGGGCGCCATTGGGCGCGTGGGGTCCTTGGACGGCGCGGGTCCCTGCTTCCTTCTTCCAAACCCCTATAGTGTCAACCCCGGATCCTCGCGCTGTCACCCGTATTTGCCGACGTCCCAGGCCTCAGGGTCTCTTACTCTGAGCCGCGCCAGCCAGTGACACGACGCCCCTATGCTTCCTCCCGCAGCGGCCGATCGGAAGCCGTCCAGCCCCAGCGGCAAGGCCCCGGATGGCCTGAGTAGTTTACACGGACTGCCCATCCCGGCCTCGACGTCCTAGGGGCAGCGCTTCCCGGACCCCGAGCCCGAGCCCGAAGCAAGAGGCGGACCGGCGGGCGGAGGGGGGCGTACAGCTCGGCGTTGCAGTCTCGGCGGCGCGCGCGGGAGCCAGGACAAGCCGAGGAGGTGCCTGGAGCCAGCCCGCGGACGGGGCCCTCCCCGTCGGTCCCTAGGCCTCGCCTGGCTCACCGGCCCGGCGGCCACACTTCCTTCACCGGCCAGAGTTTTTAGGCTTTTCTGAATTTTGGCTTTAGACTGTTGCAGCCTCGTCCCGATCCTTGCTCCGACGTGGCCTCCCTCGCCCGGCCAGTCTCAAGTGTCTTTTCCTACCTCTCCCAGGGTTGTTCAGCATCCTCCCTCTCTCTTCCCTTCCTCTCTCTGCTTTGCATCCTGTCTTTGCTTCCTCCCTCCTTCCTATCCTACATTACTTTCCTTCTTCCTGTTGCCCTGCCTCCCTTTTGTCCTCTTAATTTCTCTCCCTTCAGTCTTCCCGCTTCCCTTTCTCCTTCCCATGTTGCAGCACCGTGCTTCCTTTCCTGGGGTCCTGCCCCCTTCTCTCTCTAACGTCTTTTACAGTAAATGACTCCGTTTCTCTTCATTCCTACTGTTTCCCTGACCTGTCTCACTTCCCAGGAGAGCCCCAGACTGGGCTTCACGACAGTCCTCGCTCTGCCGCTGGGACTCTTTAGTTTCCACCTCTCGGAGCCCCCCAGCCCTAATGGAGAGGTCTGGAACCTAGGAAATGGACAGAGAGGCCATGGCCTTTATATTATATTTTTTATATTAATGAACCCAAGCAAAACAGGGATGAACTACCCTGTTCTCTCTCTCTCCCCCAGGATATGATCTGATAATCTGTATGTTCTCAGTGCCTAGTGGCTGAGCTTCTCTTTGCTTCCTCTGAGATGATGTCACCCCAAAGAAGACTGGGGTAGGAGTAGGGAGCATTGGGGTCATAGGTATTTTCTCTGCTTAGAGAACTGCCCGCCCTGGAGGTGCTCCTTCCCACCCCTCCATACCTAATAGGAGGGAATCTGACACAAGGTAAATGCATCAGCACTGTTTTTGGTTTTCAGGGGTCAGCAATTTGTTAATTTAAACCACAAACTGCTTCCGGGTACAAAGGTGCAATCTGGCTTCTGGTTTGCAAGGGGATGAGGGTGAGAAAGTGTCTTCTAGAGCTGGACGCGAGAGCTGTTCACTGCTTCCGGGTTCAGACGCACTGGTGGCGGGACCCTGGACATAAACTGCAATGTTTGTAGTCATAAAAATGTCACTGGTGAGAGTGTGACATCACCTGTTAAACGTGGCTGCCTTTGAATAAAGGAAAGCATGTGGAGAACGCCTTGTAAGGGTGAGCAAGTCTGTGTCCACTTCGCAGTGTGGTGTAGGTCTGCCTCACTGACTCTAGCCCCTCAGTTCCCAGTGTGAACACTATTAAGATGAAGTTATTTGATTGTTTTTTTCACAAACACTTGCAGCCTGGGTTGGGCAGGAGGTGGAGGAGAAGGTGAAGGAGGCATGCTTCCAGGGCTGTCCCAGGGTACTCCAGGGAAGAGACGTACTGTGCAGAAATCATACTAACAGGAGGCTGATTCTTAGAAGAACAAAGTGGGCAAAAGACAGGGAGCAACAGTGGGGACTTTCCCAGAACATTTCTCACATTCTGAAAGCGAAAGAAAATTATGCCAGGCTGCCAAACCATCTAGGGATTTCTAACTACACAGGGGTCTTTGGCTAATTGTTTTGTTTTTCCTTTTCATGTTTGGCTTTTTCAAACTGACAGAAGGCATTTTTGAATTGAAGGTTTTGCTTGTAAATGGAGTGGCCTATTCAGACTAATGGAGGGAACCAGTGGGGAAATTATTATATCTCATTGCAATCATACACACTGAAGGTATTAATTACAAAATGATATCTGCTTTTTTTCATATAGAAACTTTTGTTTCCAGGTTTTCAAAGGATCTGGCCTTAAAAAAGTTCCATTTTATAGGTAGCAACATTGAGGACTAGCTATTTGGTTTCCTTTCTTTGAACTATACAGCTAACTGCAAATTGCAGGGTTTGGGCACGAAAACTACGTGGCACCATCTCATCAGAGAGCCAGGACTGGGGCTTGTACTTTGAGTCTGGGGTCCTTAATTTTCTGTGCCAGCATTTCCTACAGAGAAACTAGTCAAAAAGGTAATAGGAATAATGTATGAAAAGGAAGCATGTTTTCAAGTTATAAGTCCTCTCGGTCTGTCCTCATGTACTTAAATGAGCTTTACATGCTCATGATTTTCATGAGTCCTCACTTGCTCCCCGGAGGGGACGGGTTTGCCTGGGCCAGGAAGAAGGCATCCCTCTGCTTTCTGAAGAAAGAAGACTCTGTGGTTAGCCTGTCTCCGAGTTGCCATCATCCCTATTTCCCTGACATTTCCCACTTTTGTGTTTGTGCTCTGGGAGTTAAAGGTAAAAAAGCTGGGAAAAGCCACCCAGGAAGGATGGAAGACACCTACATTGTAAAAGCTACCTGCAAAGGGCGGCATGTTCTAAATCTGTCGCCGATGGTTCCCCGTGTCCTGTGGCTGGAGATGAACCTTTCAGAGTTCCTTGGCCTTAGGGTGAGCTTTCACGGGTCCTGAGCTGCATCCAGTCTGAGGGCTTGCTGGAAGGCTTTGACATTGCATGTGGGATATGCAAGGATATCCCTTCTCCCTTGAGTCTCAGGCCATGGGAAGTCCCAGGGAGCTTGGGTTAAATCCCTGCTCTGCTGTAGTGTGACTGAAGGAAGCTGTGACCTCTGAGCCTCCACAGTCTTGTCTATGAAATGCACCATCCAATGCAGTGACACCCATGGTGACCTGGCCTCGAGGAAAGCTGATACTTGTGTTGCTTCATCCCTCTGGAGATGATTTTGCTGTTAACAAAGGATAGGAAAGTCATTTTAACGGTTGACGGGGGATCCAGAATTTTAAACTTTTTTTCTCAGAAGATCCCATCAGAATATTACAATTTTGGTGTCTGTGCTTATGGATCTGTGGAGATAGTGGGGACATAGGATAAAATTAGGTAATACCAGGCTAGGTAGGATAATTTAAGAAAAATCATTCCCAAAAGCAATTTGTTTTTCTTCTTGCCTTTTATTTTTTTTAATTTAAGAATAATATTTCTTTTTAATTTAGAGAAGCACTAAAGAGGAAAAAAAAAGATGTAATCATTCAAGTAACCCTTTGCTTTTTTTTTTTTTTAAAGAATGAAAGTAATATATGTACATTGTTAGAAAATTCTAGCAGTACAGGAACATTGAAAAGAAAAGTGAAAGTTTTTCCTGTCTTCTTCTCTGTCCTTAAAGGTGAACACTGTTACAGTCTTTTATGAATCTTTCCCAGAAAAAAAAAAAAGGCAGGCAGCAGAATCTGTTTCTGTATGTGTGCTATTTAACAGTGCACACCAAGGATCTGAACTGTATACACAGAGACAGGGTCTGGAGATCTGATCTTTGCATACCAGCAGCTTCAGTTCCACAGCATTCACTTTATTCTTCTGAAAGGATGCATATCAACAGGGTTTATTGAAAACAGAGTATTTGTAAAGGGGGGCCAGTTTCGAGCTTTAAATGAATAAAGGCAGGATTTTGTTGCATTCATTTTTGGAGAAAGTGCTTCAAGTGGATTGTAATAACTTCTCTGGGAAAGGTGGCTGCTTTTCGGCAAGAGGGGAAGGAAGCAAACCAAAGAGAAGGAGACATAGAGACAAGAGACACCGAGTTTTGTCCTTCTTAAAGATATTCTGATTGTTTTCCAGATCACCGAAGAGATTCAAAGCTCTGAGGGGCTGGCAAATGCAATTTTCCTTTCCTTTGAAAGAAATGTTTCTCTAGGTCAGGAAAGAGAGACAGAGGCAAAAGGGGTGGGGAAAAATATTGGATAGGAACAAAATGTAAATATCCAATCCTGGTACAACCTTGCTTCTTACCTGTCCCAATTCACGTGGAATCCCCATGGAATTAGCTTCCTGACAGATGAACCTCACTTGTAGACAACTGTGTTTCCCCATTTGCTTGTTTCTTGACTCCTGTTAAAGAGGATGGGATTTATTTAATTGAATGGTGGTTTGGGTTAAAGCATTCTGTTAAAGCACTCTAGCTAGAATTACATTGGCCTCAGTTTCTTTTCAAAAGAAACTCTACCTGCTCCATGTTATGCTGGATAATATGAATTTAGAATCTTGGCAAAATGTGCCTGAGGAGCTCAGTTGAAAGGACTGTGCATCCAGACAGGCTACATAATGAGAAACACTTGATTCTCTTCTTTTAATAGGCAGGAATTATGCGCAAAATGGTATTTGGTCTTCACCTTGACCTTGCTGTCTGAACTATAGCTTCATTCGCTGAAGAAATGTCCCATGGTCGAGATAGTTCTAACCAAACGATCGGATTTCCACTTAGAAAAAACAAAACAAACAAAACAAAACTTCTGGATTCTTTTGATTTGGATTCTTCTTTGCTTTTTCTTTTTTAAGGCCAGAGCAAGGAGGAATCACAGTGCCTCTTTTTCAAGGCATTACAACAAGAACCACACATTTAGTCAGAATCCAACTCGGGAATTCTAAACACTTGGAACAATTATACTCAATTTAGGAAAGTCTCTTCTTTGGAATTGAAACTGGTTGAAACCCCTGTTTCACTCTAAAGAGCTCTTCTCCAGGAGAAGCAGTCTGTGATCTTGGTTGGAACACACATCTGTTTCTGGGCTAGCCAAATCCAAAAGTGGAATCCCAATTACAGTTTTCATGGCTGATGGAATTTCAGCTGCACTACAGTTGAACCACCTGGGCTGCCTCCACTGTCTTTTTTCTTCTTAAGGTTGAAATAAGCTGATCGTGTGTTCATTCAGCTCTTAAATTACATTTCCATCCTGTACCATTTTATTTCCTTTTTCTCTGGTGAGATATATTGATCAATGGATTATCTTCAGTTTCTTAGACCAGCCACATAATGTTCACTTTTGGGAGTTC